TTTTTTTTTCTCTAGGAATAATGAGCGGTTCTTCAAGGCAGCACATTGATTTTGTCAACAGCCCCATGAAACAAAAACGGGTTTCCCAGCTCCCGGGAATAGGTTTTGTTCTTGGGGGAAAGCTGATTGACGCAGGAATTACCAGAGCATATCACGTTTTTGGCAAGTTTCTTGTCTTAGATAAAGATCGCATAGCGTTCTACGAGTGGCTGAGAGGCTTTGGAGCGGATGATGGCCAATGCACAGCATGTTTCAATGCCTTGGACGAATGGTGCAAAAGATACTTGGGCTGACGATTAGAATTATCTGTAGATCTCCGGTGGTTGCAACGCCTTTATACTATTTACATTGAGTTTGTAATGTCAACAGTGTCAACGGTGTTAGCTCTATCTTGAGAATAACACTTGTAATGTAAACACCTCTGAATTAACGATTCATCCTTTGATAGTCGAGCAGGGAGTCTACGACAAATCCATTCAGTTGAGTCTGTTGAAAAGGTACTTGTCTTATTGCAGGACAGAAAGTCCCTTCCAAGAATGCGAACGTTATGTATGCTGAAAAGCATTTACTTGTTTAATATCAGATATGTAATCCGTGCAAGGTGCCTTTTATTTTCGAAAACTGCAAGTGGTCAGTACATATTGGACTGACACAGACTATAGCTAGTGTCATTTACAATGGTAATAGCAGCAAGTTGAGTCTATAATTCAGTGGGTGTTCAGAACAGAAAGACCTCGATACGAACTTAACTTCGATATAGATGATTGCGCTTAAGGTTCTTCTCTTCAGTAAAATTCAGCATTTAACACCACTAAATGTTGTGTTATTTTCAAATTCAGCACGTTACAATCAGTTGATTTTAAAGCAACGCAATCCTCAGTCGCAGCCTACGGAAAATTTCAAACATTTTGGGCGTACCAGCTCTGTCGGTGAGATTATTTTTGAATGCGCCGAATTGTGCACTGGAGAAACGAAACACATTCGTATTTAGAACCAGACTAAGTTTACTGATTATCATTATTTCGCGCACAGGATTTCATTTAATTCATGGGACATTAATAGGTGATAGAAAGCAACTGCCTATATTTTGTCAGAGTGACCGTCTCATCTCTTGCAAAAGTGAGTGTATACCTGCTTTGTGACTCGTTTATGGATGAAAATATTGAGTACCTATGTTAGAGGGCCATAAACACCTCTTTTTCCAACAAAGATAATACTCAAATGCGAAAGCACTGGAATTTCCGAATTATTTTTACCTCTGTTACTTGGTCTCCGAGGTTAGTAAGCTGACTAAAGGAGTTTAATAAGAACCTTTTCTTAAGAAGTGGCTCGAACTATGGCCAATACGTTTTCCGAAAATTTCCGGAATTGACTTGAACTAAGATTTTACAGCTGAAGCGGCATGCGCTCTAAAGCTTCCACGCACAGAGATTATATTTTTCATTTTAACTTTATCTATCACTTCTTTTATATCATAATATCAGTTAGTGTATCAGTTAATGTATCAAGACAGTTTGTAGATTGAAAACGAAATAATCCAGCTTCAGGTTTGTGAACGCCAGGACTTAAAGTCGTGAAACATGAAATGCATTGGTATCCATTTTGTGGAGGCTTTGGCTCAGGCTTTAAGAGATTAGGTACCACAATAACGTCATGTAATGAACGATTATGAACTTTCTACTCATTGAACTCTCTTCGATCGGTAATAACAGCATTTCGGAACCATTTACACCGAGGTGATAATGTAAATGCACTGGTTGTATCCTTCAAAATAAGAGGTTTTACACAAACACTTTCAATCTACTGTGTTCTCACTTATACTTGAGGTGGGGGCTATTTAGAATGTTTGCTATAAGGAGGTGGAGAGGCTTTTCTAGTTCAAATGGGATGGAGAGTCTTGTGAAGAGTTCGTTTACCATTTGTAGACTGTGAACCACTGAGTTTTCAAAATAAACCTTTTCCACATGACAAAGGTGATACTCGATAGCGTACGAAACTAATATTGCTTCCGCTAGCATAGATTACTAGCATCCCAACTCTCTTGCCCTTTCGCGGACTAGAAAACAATGTTCTGTAAGTAATGTTCAGGTGACAAAGAAATATGTTGCTTTGAACTCGACACACTGTAACATGTTTAACTATGAAATGGCACATTACCGACCTGTATCTCATATAAGGATACGTTTTGAGGATTGCTAGACTTGGGCATCTAGAATGTAACTAAGTTCTCATCAAGTTCCATCTGCTAGACATTTCAATTGGGAGCTTAGCTGGGCTAGAAAAGTACTTTGATTCAGCCAAGAACTTTGCAAAAAAATTGCATTTATCATATTTATATGAGAGTTCCACAATAACAACCTCCTCACTTTCCGCACTCCTGTGAAGGAACTGTTGGATGTGATTTGTACATTCACATGCGCACTACTTTGCAAAACGTCTCTTTTATTTCTTCTTTTCCTGGTCGCTGGAGGCGGCAGCGCATATATCCCTACATTCATACTTCGTCATTTTCCCCCAGAGCTTTCTGTTCTTTTCACATGACTACAAATACTAAACTGTTACACTACAAAAAGCACGACCAGCGAGAGAGAGATCCACATTCGACAAATGTACACAGCTTTGTGACATGGAACACAGTTACTGCTATTTACGCAGCTAAGCCCAGCCCTGAACACCTTTTGTATGTTGAAAAAGTTCATTTTCAAATATTGCGGGGTTAAATTCTACAAAGAGCCACCAAATCGTACGAGATATCGCTTTCATGGCATGAAAAAATATTGTTTATACGTTTAAAAAGGCGTCAGAGGTAGAATCCAAATCCAACAAAGGGAACGCAATAAATACAAAATATACTTTTTAAACTGTACAAAGTATACATGTATGGTTATCAGCTTTATAGTTAAAATGCTCTACGCACTACTGCCCTACTTTTTCAACACAAAAGGGTTCAATGCTACACAAGGATTCGCTTTTTTTTTATAGCCTGGATATTTTTTTTGTTTTGTTTTCATCTGATGCGAGACGAGAGAATTTTGTGTTCAAAAACTTCGTTGCATATTTTCCTCTCAATAAATTGTTCCTCTTTCGTCTAGAGGATTCGTCTATTGTCAACTCTGTCGACGGTTTCTAAGTTAAATGATTTCTTTGCTCTTATACAGTGGTTTCTTGTAGTATCACTACTGTGTTGGGTAGCCTGCAGCCTGCTGCATGACGTAAGAAGTTGGATTGGCAGGGGAGGGAGCTCCTTGGTGATGAGGCCCAATCATACCCATCATCTGCTGATTCTGAGTGGGAGGCTGTTGACCAGCTGAAGACGCTGGCGACATTTGAGCTGAAGAAGAGCAAAGGAGGAAAGTGACTAAAGGGAAAGCGGTTGAATATGATCAAAAGACCTTAAATGGTCGTGTTAGCGCCTAAAATGAGATGAGCTTGGAAATCAAGTCTGCTGGCTACGATCATGATCAATCCTATGCAAATATTAATTAACCCTGGTCTAAGATTAGCGATAGACTACAAGCATTCCCATTTCCTACGTAATACATCACGCAAGTCAACAGAAGTCTTCCAAAAATATTCCGGCCCACTGTGAACTCTGGGAAGCCCGCACGCTTCGCTTGTATGGGTTCAGGTGGCGCCGGGATAAAACATTTTGTTTTTGGCCGATTCCCATTGACTTGCGCCAAGGGTTACTTCGGCAAATAGGGAATACTTAAAGACAAATCATTTAGTCAGTAAAATGTGACACCAGTGGAAACGGCGACCAACTGCATAACAGAGAGGAACAAAAGGGGGAGGAGAGGTGTTACTCTGATTGCAAAACCGGAAACAACCTGAAAGCCTGAATTTGGGTGGGCTTAAGATAGGAATATCCCTTTTCACCGCGTAACCACAATTTGTACGACAATAGGTGACGAAGATAAATCGAAGTTCGCATTTGATCACGAGTCAGGTGGGTGCGACGAAGAAACCTTATAGCGTACGCATACTTAGACGAGTGCCTAACAACTTTTCTTAACAAGTGCACAATAAATAAGGTTATAGAAAACTCGTGTTTAAATAAACCAAATTCTTAGTTGGACAACCTAAAAACTCCACAGTAGCCACAGACATGATTTTCGAAAGGCTCATCTTTTCACAACTGACAATATCTCACCAGGATACCCCGGCATTGCTGCTTGCACAACTTGCATTGGTTGGTTTCTGTGAAAAGAGAAACAGAACATCACTAATTCGTCGCAATAGAAAATTAAAACCAACGAGGCAAGTTCTCTAATATGTAGAGATAAAATTGCAAGCCATCTAAATAGTATTTTGAAAGCGACTGACAACCGACAACCAGAGTATATAAACAAGCATGTTAGGTGCAATAAATACAGTAGTAATATCTTTCGAGAATATAGACAATTCTGCCTCTTTCAAAGCCCAAACATCAAGAGGCGACTGGACAGTGATACTTCTGGACTTACCCAAAGGGCTGCTGTGGATAGTAAACATACTGAGCTGCCGCTGCTGCTGCTGGGTACTGAACATACCCGGCCTGAGCCGGAGACTGCTGCTGCATGGGTTGTTGATTGTAAACTTGCTGATAATATTGTTGATAATACTGATGAGAAAAAAGATTACACATATCATCAGGCCAACCTGACTTAGTACATGGATCAAATGAGATACATAACTTTACCATGTAAACCATACACATGGGCGGAATTTAAAAAGTAATTCTGTGCAACAGCAGGGCATCAAAGCATGCAGTTAGTCCTTTCACTACCCAGATAATTTATTCTCCTGTATTTTAAAGAAGTGTTGAACTGCATAGATGAAAATCCGTCTGAAATCATTCAGGCCCGACATAATGACGAAAAAAGACAAAGATCTTCACACCTATAGATGACTTCCAAGTTAGGGATAAAGGGAACTGCCAAGGTCGAGCGTTTTAATTCTCTAACTAACGAACGTAAACTTATCATAATACCTGCTGCCATTGCTGCATTGCTGATTGAGCGTTGTTCATATCTGTCTGTTCCTTTCCCCAAGAACACTGTGAAGAATAATTATACGTACAACTCAACCACAATACTTAGCTGATGTCATTATTTCGCTTATCGAGTACAACTGAGTTTTAGTCAGTTCAAGAATGACCATAATCAAAAAGAATACGTCAACAAAAACGTTGCCTTGATGGAACATGTAACTCTCATAAGCAGTATTTAAATAAATGAGGGATAATCATTTGGGAGAATTGACTGTCAGGCCACCTTCATACATGTAAAAGTAATTTGCTCCTGAACATAATATGGGAAATTTAAATTTCGAAAAATGTTATCAGGGAAATCTTGAGATAGGTGCCAAATATGTGTTCATTTTACCTAGAATTAAAGTAATCTTAGTGGTAAACTTACTTTCAATAAATTATCTCCTAGCACAGTTCTCTGTGAGTTGTAAATGGCATCTAATGCTTGGTCATGTGTGTAAAATCTGTTGAATGAAGTTGGAAAGTAAAGTTAGCAGGTGGAATTAGGTGCATATTTACGATGAAACCTTCGCCAACAGTCAGAGTATTTTTACCAATTAACTTAGTCCCCTTTCCACATGGCGACGCCCTCCAAAGTGCGTCTTAACCGCAAAAATATCATCTTAACAATGACCCTCTAATAACTGGCTGACGAACGGTAATTAACAAGATTCCTTTGCTTTTATTTTTGTTTTGAGCTAAAAAACTGCACGGTTAGTGTACATGTATGTGCATGGTTCAATACTCAAGTCCAACTCACTTGATAAATCCATAAAATTTCTCTGGAAATATTTTGATGTCATAGATCTGTCCAAAGTGTGAGAAGTTCTGACGAAGTGTATCATCTGAAAAAAAGGCAAATAAGTTACAGTCTACTTCATCTCAGAAAGAATTAATTCTGTAATCTTCATCTGAACACATTTTACTTTATATCAAAATCACATTGTTGTTTGAAAATATTTTTTTGAATAACAGTCAGGGCTGGTTTCAACTTTTTCCAAACAGCACCATAAACAGATTTTACACAACAACACAACATTCAAGCAAGAAAGAATTGTTTGCCTTTTGGGGTGGGGAGGGGGAGGCCTTCAAAAGCTCCCTCTGACTTGTACACACAGGCTTACTCAACATAAATATAAATGTGGTTTTCTGAGTTAAACTTATATGCAGGGATAACAAAAGTCCCATCTATTGTCCAAGGTAATGGGCAAAACACTCAACAACTTCATTTGATTACTGGGTAAAACCCAAGATAAGGAATACTTTAATCCTAACCCAGAGGACCAGTTAAAAGTCTATCCTAGTTTGACTAAAGATGCTGAAAGCTAGTCAGGGAAACAATAGAGTACTTGAAAGAAAAATTTGTCGCATATGCACATGACAGTACAGAGTCAATATTACAATACCACAATAGAGAAATAAATGTAGTTACCAGTGCAACCCGGTGGAAGATTACCAACGTACACGGTGGAGTTATATGGAGAGGCCTGACGTGATATTTCTTCCAATGACAGTTGCTTTGTTGCTGAAAAGAAACAATACAAGCAAATAAATATTCAAGCATGCGCACCTGAAGTAGAACAGTACTGGGAGAATAAACATTGAAAAGAAGCTTTTGACATCTTTACCCATTACTCAAAATATTTTTTCTATTTCTCCAGATTTTTTCCCCAATTCTCCCATGTAGCTGATATAAATTTTGTTATTAATTATATTAATTACAATGGAGTTGTATCAATAACACATCTTCTGATTGATAAGTTACAGTTGTAGCCCATTCCCATTCCCTTCAGTGTAGTGTGGTATGATAAAGGAAAGTTATATGTTTACCAGGAGTAAACCAGGAAGGGAACTTTTGCATCTGGTATACATTGGTCAATCTTGAAAGGGGGAACTGATCTAAATGATTTGGAAAAAAGCATTTCAACACTGATCATCACAAATCTCTGGTTTAGTTTTCAAACACTGAGTTTTCAGTTTACCCCTGTTCACCCTAATGCATATTCTCTACTGTTCTAAAAACATTTCCTAAAGCGCTGACAAAAATAATTTGCTTAAAAATTAACAGCTCCTTTAGTTGGGGATCATGTCCAACAGACAAACAAATAAACAAGTCCATACCCTCACCTGGTACCATTGCTTTCCTAGCAGCCCAGTTAGTTCGTATGTTTCTGCCTTTTAACTGCTGACCTAAATTAAACCACACAGGTTTTCCTAATCTCAGCAGGGAAATTTTGACAGAAATAAAGTCATCACAAAGCACAGATTCATTGTGTGTTTATGAATTAATCATTAAAAAAATCAATTCTGGACATTACTTATAACAGCAGAAGAGGACTTTGTATCTCCAGTTTTGTACATTCCTTTCACAGAGAAAAAAACTAAGAGAAAAACATTGCAAAAGTGATTCAAGATCACAAAAATACCTTTCATTTCCCTCATGGCTTTCTCAGCATCCTAAAAATTGTCAAACAACAGCAAAAATTAACATCAACTATCTCAGCTTTAGTCTCAGCTTTGCAGACCATAAAAGCAAAGAGCATGGTGCCTATGAACTTATTTCATCTCCTTCCAAGTGTTGAATACCTCTTGCTAACCAAGTTTGAGGTCTGTACTCTAAGTTACTGACCAATGCTTTTCCACCCACATTTATGGCCAAAGCAACGTACACAGGCCAAAAAGCAAGTGGAAAAGGGAGGTTCCATAACTTACAGTACAGACCAGATGTTTATTTCATCTCTACATTCAGATAGAGGGGGAAGATTCACTTCAAATAAACTTTTGAATTTAGCTGGCCATACAGTGAAATATGACTTGCTAAACTGACCAATCGTAGCACACATACTAATTGAGAAATATAATAAAAATATAGAGACAGAGCATGAAATTAACTTCTTCACTTCTGGCCTGTGGGTTGACAGCAAGTCAGATTTATATAGCTTAAGTTATTTTTCATGATAAAAAATGTCAGCTTTAAGTTATCATGATACTGACAAGTCATTCCCAAGAACTCACAGCAGAAACTTAAAACTGGAAGAGGCTACAAAAAGAAGCATGTCACTTAGAGCAGCAATCCTTGTTCTTAATTTTTTTTTCTATTCAATTTGTACTTCCCTCTGCTATTTAAAAAAGAACAGATCACAATGAACTAAAGTTAAGTAGTATTTTTCATTTGGCTCAAGAGCACACATGAGATCACACATACATGTTGACAATTTTTAACCCTTCTGCTCCCAGCATATGATTGTTGATTCTCCCCTTTGGCTGTTTTGCATTTCCTTGTAACTTGGTTTCCAGAATTTGGGTTTAGATCAAGAGAACAACTTCTGCCTAATAACTTTGAGTATTCTCATTACATGTTAATCAATTCTGAGAATTAAAGGGTTAAGTGAGGGGTAAAGTAGGTGACCAAGTTGCAATTCATTTTAATTCTGATTAAGTATTGTGAATTTTCTAATCCATGACTACTATTGCTAAAAACAAATGGAGTGCATTGCCTCTAACAGTTTCTTACATACCTCCTTTTTGACAAATGACACAAAACCATATCCCTTGGACTTTCCAGATGTAGTATCTTTTACAACACGACAATCCCTGAATGAATGTAATACAGCAGTTTTTATACTAAATCAGCATTTTCAAGGACTATTTTTTCTTATAAAAACTGGATACAAAAGAAGCAAACAATCCTCAGAATTACATTTCCCTAAATGATAATGATTAAAGAAAATATGCTAACAGCATGACCTAAAAAGAGCGAGGATTATCTTATGTTAAATGTCAAACTTTCTGTTGCAACAACCTTGGGTATAACCATAGCACAAGCAACCCTTAATTCAAGGCAAACATTAAAATCATAATTGAAAGCTTTGCCTTCAAAGCAATTTCCAAAACAGTTCTCTTACAATCAACAACAATGTAACTGTAATTAGCGAGAAACTATTTTGTTTCCTTGGTTAACTCTGACTAATCTATTGATTAAGATGATAAAAAGAAGAAAAAACAAGCAAGGAAATGGCATACATCGCCTGGGCGGGATGCAATTAGTGCACATTCATCTGTATTCAAGCAAATAAGGAAGGAAGTGTTACAACAAGTACTGCACTAAGCATGGTATATAATATCACAAATATGAAACATGTTCAATGCATCACAAATTGGACTGTTGGTAAACTGACGGGTAATATTCAGCTTATAAAATCAGCTAAACAAATAGATTCCATGTTGCCGTGTATCTGCCTAGTAAGAGATCACAAATGATTCCAAAATGTGTTTAGAACAAAAAATGTCTAACAAGGTGCAGCAAAGTGTGTTGCTGATGTTTTCACCACATTTTGGCTTCTTTTGTGAACAATTGCTGACCACACCCTCAGCAACATGGAATCTATCTGTTAAATATAATAGAGAAGAAAAAAATTGCCAAGGTAATATCATCTTTGTGTCTGTCCTCCAATAGATCATGAGTATAAACCAATCAAAATGTGTGCAAAATTCAATTTATTGTATAAATAGAAATTACAAAAACTTTGCAGTGATCTGCAGTCTATGGACCATGATTTTTAACACCATGATGGTTTGCCCAACATAATTCAGCCACTTTCATATACCCGGGGGAGACTTAAAACACTAGTTAGTGACATCTAACTATGTGCTACATGTAACACTCCGTGAGTAGGCCTTCACATAGGTATGTAAACACAGATTTCCCAAGTGGAACACACAACAGAGTCAAATTAAGGGGGGCAAATCAAACTTTATAAGCCCAACTTCAAAATACATTTAAAAATGCAACATGGAAGGAATTTTGCAGAATGCTATACAATCAGTTTAATATAATTTTATAGCACGATCTGTAATAAAAAGCGAATGGTTAACAAGAGCAACCCAGATGGAAACACCTCTCACTAACTGAGTTTGAAGTCTGCACCAAAAGTTATGGACCAATTTTTTCTTATTGGATTTATGGCCCAAGTGCAAAGTGTACCAGCCATAAATCCAAGCAGAAAATAAGAAGCTCCATAACTTACAGTACAGACAAAAAAAAAAAAAAGGTTTGTAAGATATCTGTTATTTCCCTGGGTTCAATTGGAGGGGGAAGAATAAAATGCAAACAAAAATTCTTGAATTTAGCAGGCTGTACATTGTAATATGACCCACTAAATTGATCATTAATAGCGCATGTACTAATTGAGAGATTTCTTTTCCCACTGAACTGTACAGAACTACTAAATGGAAGGATTGTAACTCACCACCTCCAATCTTCAGTGACATGCACAACTAAACACATTGAATTTGAATACTTGGATTGCATGAGGCAGGTAATATTTCAGTGAGACTTTCAGAGCCAATTTCTTTATCTTCCACACTTGTTCTTAGAGGCCAATTTTTTTTGTGTGTGTGTGCCTACTTCCTGTTTTCCAGCTATAGTGTAAAGGAACTGAATTGGCTTTTTTTTCTTTTCATCTAACTTTCTCTTTCATATTAATTCCAAAATGTTTATTCTCAGGAGAATTTTGTACTTGAAATAATTAAGTGGCCAAAACTTATCATAATTATAGTATTAAAAAAAAATTGAAAAGATAAAAAAAGCAACCTAACTTCAACCACTCCCATTCTCAGCTTTGCATTGGTAATCACTGCAAACCAAAGACTTTGTCATTTCTGAGCTTGAAGTGTAATTGAAGAATTTGGTGTAAATTATTACAGTGGCAATGCATGCAAAATACAGAACATGCAAAAGCCACTTGGAGTTTATGTTCTCTTCATATGAATAAATGTTTCACCGCTCAGTGTACTCTCCCAAGTGGATAAGCCACTGGTCCATTACACTTAACCCAATAATAAACCCTTTAACCCCTAAGAGTGATTGGCATCTAATTTCTCCATGCAGTATCAATTTGAATCAAACACTAAGGTCATGAGAATGAAGGAAATGATAACCAATTTAGGATGCTCCTGATTTTCAGGCAAATTCTCATTGTTGGTGCCATAGAAAATGTAGAGGAGGAGTGCAGAGAATATCAATACCAATGTTAGGGGGTAAAGGGTTGAGTGACACACAATACTCCTAGTTTGTTACCTGGCAAAAAGAAAAGTTTAACAGCCATTCTTTTTAGCAATTAAGGACAGCAATGCACCCTACTGAATACATTATCTAAAAAGTTTTTTTTTTTACTTGAAATACTTTAGTAAAGCAGACTGAAGAAAAATCAGAGTAAAGAGTTTCTTAGTTGCTGGTTTGTTTGTTTCCTCTTGTTGAACTTTTAGGAAGGTAAACTATTTGATCTCTGTTTTGACCAAAGATGGTATAATTATTAATGTTATGGAACAGCTCTAATCTTCAGCATCCATATGGTTTAGTCCTTGAGGAATAGGTATTAAAACCAAAAACCAAGTACATTTTTCAGACTTTTCTTCTTGTGACACTTTGCATATAGAAGTGGACAAGTATGGACAATTCAAAATTGATGGTTACTGAGTAGATCAGTGACTGAGAAAAAAAAACTAATGGGGTTTTATCAATTTTGTTTGGTTCATCATTCTTCATGAATACAATGCAGTATAAGCAAACAGGTGTGAAGTACGCTTGATGCATCTCTCCTCTACATTGACTGAATTATTTCTTTGAAGATGGCATAAAATCAGAGGTATCACAATGTATTAGCCAACCAGATCTAATTAGTTCATGTAAATTTTCACACAGCCAACATTTCAAAATATAGAGGATGCTGAAGATTAATACTGATGTTTCACCACTTGCATACAGTTCAATTGTAACACTTATGTGATATATGTAGGAAATAATAATTAAAAAGAAAAGAACCCAGATACTTACGATACTTGTCCAAAAGCAGAGAAAGCCTTATAAAGACCCTCATTCTCAATCTCTGGATCAAGGTCACCCACAAATATGTGATAATGATCTGAAATGATAACACAAAACCAAACAATGATTAATAATTCTAGCTGAGACAACAGATTTATTGAAAAAAAAAAAAGCCTCAAATAGTCATGGTAGCTGAGCTCCTTCACAAGAGTTGAAAACAACAAAAGGCTTTGGAAAAGTGTAGTATTCTAGTTTTTAAGGATTCTGCACTTTAATTAGTTTATACTCTGAGGTCTTTGTCTATCCAGAAAGCTTCCAGCTTCTATAAACACTCAATATACACCAGAATTCTGAATAAAAAGAAATCTATGAGTTCTGAGATTTAGCAACAAATTTCTTGCTCAAACAAAAACTAGGGTAATGAACAATGGAGGCTATAAACTCATAGGGACAAAAATTGGCAGTTAAGACCGCATATGGCTACTGATATAGCACAATTTTTAGAGCATTGATTAAAAACCAGAGGTTGTATGATAATGCTATAAGGTAGCATTTTCTACTTCCATTGCAATTCCACCATTCCATTGAATGACGTCACCCTATTGAACTGAACATATCATATTTCAGACCTTGCTCGCTTTTCAAATTAAGCAGCTCTTGTGAGCATTTGTCACTGGTTGAAATGGTAAAATGATCTCTATTCAAATAAATAACATTTTTCTTCAGAGTTTCCACAATGTGTAGACCAAACCTATTTAGATATTTCTGCAAGGAAAAAATTTTTTTTCGATAACGTGCTGGAGAAGCCATTGCAAAATTATTTTGAGATATTGATCATCTATTGTACTGTCACGGTTAGAACTGAAAAAAATATATCTTTACATCTACTGGGAACAATTCGCTGTTTCAAATGGTAAAATGCTCTCTCTTTTAAGAAAAAAAATTATTCTATAAATTTTCATGATGCCCAATCACTCCTTTTAAGACATTTCTGCAAAGTAAACCTTTCTCTTTCACACACCCTTCTGAAATGATTGTGAGATGTTTATTTTCTTCTATAGTACACTAAGAGATGAACAATAAGATCAGATTCAAAGAAATTGTCACTAAGCATTGAACAACCAAAGATGTTCCAAAACAAACCAAAGCCAAGAGTGAGGGATAAAAAGTGAGGGATAAAAAACTCTGCAGAACTCATTGTGGACAAAGAAGTGATTGGTATTTTTTTGCTACCCTCACTCACTCCACAGGACAACAATATGGCTTTGCCTCCATAGGAGGCAGTAGCCATAAAAAGATAACAACCATTTTTTTTTGTTCTAGAAAGGTCAGAGAGATACATGTATATTTAGGTTGTTTAAGCACAGAGCTGTCATTCAGTTGTGACAGCATTCCCTCCCTGTCAAACTTGACTGGCTTTGAAAGAAAAAAATTGCTCAATCAAGTGGAGGTTGAATTCATGTTGTCAGAACCAATCTGTCAAACACATTGATGATTTGACAAAGATTGCTTGTGGATTAATTGGGAAAATGGGTTAACACCATACTAATAATATAATTGAAAATATCCTTTCATAATAGACCAGGAACAAGAGCTGGCTCTCCACAAATATCTGCAAAATCTAGGCAATTTTGCAGGAGAAAATATCCAAGAAAACTTCAAGTGGAAGTGGTTAATATTAATGAGGTCACCAATAAATTACTTCAAACCAATGATTCTGGAAGTCCTTAAATCAACCATGAATCCAAGCCTCTTAATATTACAGTAAACATGAGCAGTTCTGATAGGAAATCTGCAAAATCACATTTAGGCATTTCAATGCTTGACCCCTATAGTTCTTGAATACCAAGCTTATAATCCAAAGCAGAACTTTTCAAAACACAGAGAGAGTGTGAGTGTATTTGAGATAAAAATAGCAAAGGAGGAGTCTGATTTCTTTGTTGTAAATCAATGAAATAAGCCATACAAATCTCATCACAAATAAAAGGAGGTGAGTCTGCAAATTAAGTGTTCAATGAGGAAGAAAAATTATGTACTCACTACTTGTGTCTTTCCTCATGCCTCCAGTGTTATTAGTCGCCCAGTTCACCTTAATATTCTGGGCAGGACATGCAAGGGAAGAAGAAAGAAACAATGAACATCATCCATTATTAATCACTAATTGATCTTCTTATTATAGTACTCCTCTGGCTACTGGTGTTCACTCCATTATGCAGGTGGCCAACAGTGAAGCTTGCACAAGAATTCTAAAAGAGTCTCTGATCACAACGCAGTTACAATTTAATCATCCCAGTGTACTTGACTTACAGCAAATTAGTGGTATACTGATTCTACTATGTGATCACCGTAAATACTAATTTTACAAGCATAAAACCAACATCCAGTTTTCAAACACAGGTGATTTATCTGCTTCATCTACAGATGTTTTCCATTGCAGGGAATGCAGTATTTATTAATTCTACTCCTTAGACATGACAGATCTGCCATTTGGAGGGAACCCATTGGTCCAAAGTGAAAATAATCATATTCAAACCTGTCAGGCTTAAAACCACTGGAATATAAATAAGTCTCTGAAATTAAAACCCCATGGGTCTCTTCTGTAACATCTCTTTAAGTCCACAAACAACTCCCACTATTCAGAGCTCACCTGTCCTCTTTATGCAAACAATAGACCTGTACTAAGCTCACTACAACTTTCAAACAAGAAATGGGAACTAGAAAACTAATAAAAGTATCTCGCTTCTACACAACTCTTGATATGTTTTGAATTAAACCAAACTAATTTTTAAACACATCTGGGTGTAAACATGCCCATTGTACTAAAAATGCTTTCACAACTTGGGAAAAAACATCTCCAGCTACAGATCAAAACTTGGATTAGTTTCACCAATAACATTAACAATTGGACTCAAGAAAGTTAATTTGCTTAATCCATACAACTACCTTTTTTCCAAAACAAGACTGAATCAATCTAGTTAACATGTTTTGCTTTTTTTTTTTTCATTTAAATAATCCATTCATGGCTTGCCCCTTCGTTAACAAAGCTTGTTTAAGCCAGCAGGTGTAGTGAAACCTCTATGAGCATCAATATCCAAAAAGGTAGGAATCTATTCATTAAATTCAAGATATTTTCAGCCAGAGTGACTACAATAGAATAATTGGCAGTCAAGGAACAATCAAAATTCAAGAATACAGGATCTGATGATGAGGATAGAGAACAAACTGTTTCTCAGTCAAGCAACTACCAGTACCTGGTAACCCCCTTGGTTAGGACTTTAGGTGGTAATTTGCATGTGGCTACTTTTCTTTCTATATGACACCAAAAAAACCCTTACAGAATAACCTGATGTTGCTTATGAATCTAAATTTCTTGTTTAATTTCAAAAAATCAGTTTGATACCTGTGACTGACTCTACTAGGAACTGAATATCATGTTTGAATAGTTCACAAATTTTCCGGAATAAAACCATCACAGTGAAAACACTACCTTAAATGTGACAATCACTGTCACATTAGTGACGGAAGTATATTTGGATGAGAAGGTTAAGGAAAAATTGTTCTTATACAATTTTGTTTCCCTAAGAACTCCCTAAAAAGTTGACCTTCACCCACTTGAAGGTGAAAAAGATAGGTGTAAAAAAAGGTTTTGAAAATTTGTCATCAGAGTTATTTCAATTTAATTTGCTACATCACAAAAATGAATTCAACTAGAACACAAGTTAGTATTCTCAGTCACAGCAATCCCAATGGCATTATTTAACAAGGAATTTCCCCTTGAGTGCTGAGCCTAAAAAAAATTTTAAAATTCCAAAAAAAAGCACATGTATCTACACTGACAACAGCATCAATTCTGGAAACCTTCCCTAGGAAGCAAGTTTCCATCCTTGAAAATAACACTGATCATCCACCTAGATTTTGCTACCACAAAACAAAAAGAAAATAACTCTAAAACCAAGCATGAAATTCCATATGTAGACAATTACATTATCAACACAATTCCTTTCTAGACAACTAGGTCTCACATGCAAAGAACTATGTGAATGCATTTAATCACTGTGAAAGTTCCCAATTTCACATACATGTAGTAAACCTCATCTATAATGCAATGTAGATATACTACTTTGTTTTGACTGGAAAGCAACTTGGATCACAAGGTGCTATTGATCTAGGGCTAATCAAAATAAACTATAGTGCATTCTAGAAGAAAAAAAGTTCAGGGTCATTTGGAAAAAACCATGGTTACTGTTTTTATGCATAACAATCCTACAATCATTCTAATTCAGAACAACTTAATTGGAGGAATGCACAGAATAGCATTGACAATCATTTCAACATATCCTCTTTAGAAAAAAAAGTTCCAATTTAATCTTTATGAAATTAGGAATGTTTTTCTAAAAGTAAATGAAGCATCAACATCTAAAAATCTAAATAAACTATATTGCATTTTAGAAGAAAAAAAGTTAACAGTCATTTGGAAAAAAATCCATGGTTACTGTTTTTATGCATAACCCTCCTATGGTTGTTCTAATCAAGAACAATTTAATTGGAGGAATGCACAGAATAGCATTGACAATCATTTCAACATATCCTCTTTGAAAAAAAAAAGGTTTCAATTTAATCTTTATGAAATTAGGAATGTTTTTCTTCAAGTAAATGAAGCATCAACATCTAAAAACATTGATCAAATCACACAGCCTAGATAATTAACTTGCCAACCACTGATTTGTCAGAAACAAAACAAATGCTTTACCCCAAAAATCTGTGTAAGCTGCTGCATCTCATTTGTATTGATAAAAATGAATGATTGCTAGTATTTCATTAGATCCAGGATACCTGCCAGCTTAGTATGTGTAGTCAATGCCCTGACCTCTAGATAAAAAGGTCCCAATTAAATCCTAGCCCTGTTATTGTGTTTTGTTCTTTGACAAGACACCTTGCATTTATAGTGCCTCTCTCCACCCAAAAGTACAAATAGGAATTAAAAAAAAAACTCTCAGAGCCATTTGGAAAATACTCGCAGGTTACCAGACAATGGACTGGCATCTCAACCAAAGGTAGAAGCAAAACTCCTTGTCATTTCACGAGAATGTACCCCCAGATTAGCATTGGCAGTAAGGGGGTGGTCTAGTGGACAATAATTAACCTAACCAGTACTTCATTATTTCAGAGCACAGTTTGAAAATAAAAGTATCACCAAAATTTGAGAGAGACAGAATCTGCATCAGTTTGAGGATGTAGGATCAAAGAAATATTAAGAGCTTATTTGCAGGTTAAAACGCTTCTCATTTGATACTGAAATCTGTTATAGATCTTTGAATTGAGTTTAGTTTTAGAGCTGGTAGGTTAGTCAGATTACAAGCCACAAGGCTTCTCCACATGTTCTTCATCCCAGTCTCAAGTACATGAAGGAACTTGAGTGCTCTGACTCCCCTTCCCCCCTCCTACTCTCCTGCCCTCCCTCCCATTAGGATTCCAGTCTGTCACAGGGTTACCTCAACATTTCCTCTATATTTTCTAACAATTTTCTGTTACCAAGAGGAGAGAAGTACTGTAAGAGTTGAGTGTCTTGCCCAAGAATACAACACAATGACCCAGCCAAGGCTCATACCATGATATCTCAATGCAGAGCCCCTTGCACTGATAACTGAAAGAAGATGATTAGTACTTATTTCATGTGCATGCACATGTATGTCTACTATTTGGATGGTGTACCACTTACCTTGTCATAAACAGTCCTATTATTCATGGCACAAAGGGCATATTCTGCATCTTTCCTTTTTTCAAATTCCACAAAACAGTATGGGTCTGTTGATGAGCTCTAAAGTATAACAAAGGTGAGACTGGTTAGATTCTCTTTTGAAATGATTTGTTCCTGAGACTTCAGAGAAAAGAGCTACTAAGATTAGTCACTACTGATGAACTGATGACAGTTATTGGCTTGCCAGAAGGAAGAAAAAAGAGTGTTGTCATTATGTGAAGTTTGATCATGCAAAAAAAGCTACTTTCTTTTAAGTGAAAAATACAAATTTGTGAATGCAAGAGATATATTAGGAAGCTCCAATCACCACCTGCTGATTTCACAGGATAAAAAAAAGTTTGCTATTTGAAAAAGGGGCTACTTTAGATGGCTATAAGAAGTTGAACAAAGCTAGGAACTTAAATGCAAATATTTAAGCTTGTTTTTTATCCATGTGTGACAAAAAAATCTCAGAGTAGATGAATACTCTTTAGGAGCAATCAACTGGCTTAGTAAAGAAACTACTTAATAACAGCAATAAAAGCCACAAAAGGTAACCAGCAATAGAGAAGCAAAGAAATTAGAGATTGTATTAAAGAGAATGCAATGTCTTCACAGAGCCAATAAAGCACTGTATATTCTTCTCATTAATTTTCTAAGCATATTGACTTGATTTTTATATTGATCCTTGTGAAATAGTTAGCATCTTTACTTGTTCTCCTTCCCAAGCCTTTGAACCTTTAAGATGAAGTACAGCAGGCAGAGAGAAATTTGAAAGATGGCCCTTTGTATGCTAGAATCTTGTAGCTGCTATTCATAAGTTTAGTTTAACACCTACATGTAGCTCAAATTCAATGGATTTGAAACTCAAAGTGGGAGATTATCTTTTAATTTACAAATAGTCTTTTATCCTTTGACCCTTCAGAGTGACTAGCATGTAACTTCTCCTTACAATATCACCCCTGAATCACATATTAAGTTCATGAGAACAAAAGAAATAATCACCAACTAAAGAAGCACTTAATTTTTTAAAGCTTTGTGCTTCAAACTCAAGAGATACATGTGGTCTTATCAACCTGAATCTTTTATTTCTACAGTACAAATATCACTGTAAATCAAGGAATATTTTATGATGTTACTGGTAATGTACAGTAGTGTGTACATACCATCACAAAGTTTCAAGTCAAAATTTTCTTGTTGTACTAGTGCTAGAAACATGAGACTAGAATTTTTTTCTGACAAAACATTTAAGTTAATCATTAAATCTTAATCATAAAATCTAGAAAAGAAAGGGTGGGAATAGAAAAGGAAAATTAAACAAATCTCATAATGACAGTGAAAAGATTTAGATTCAATCATGAAATGAAAAAAGAGAGAGATCAAACTTCAGACTCCACTGTCATATTGTAGAATAACCCAATAACAAGTCACAGTAAATAACAAAAATTTACTCAGATATCTACATTGTCCTTAAAAATACAGAACTCATCAAATCATCTTTGAAGTTGTCCAGAAAGAAGGAACTTAAAACTATTTTAAAAACAGCTTGAGAATATCCATAAAGCAAGCCTTTTAGCAAAGGATTCAAAGGTTCTTGGAATTTTGATGACTGGACAAATGAGTGAGAAAGTTTGCTTTCACAGTGGGGGAATCTCTTAGCCTCTAACCACACAATGACTTTGTCACGGCACTGTAGTTTTCCTAACTTTGCTAACCTGTATGATGTTACGTAATACCCAAGTTAAGATATCTCATCAACTAGAAAATTGTTGAAATTTTTTAAATCATTTGACAAATACAAACCTGGTATTAAGTCTATTAAAAATCAAGCTAAAGCACCAGGCATTTTGCAGATGAGAAAAAATAAAGTGAATTATAGTTGACTTGAATCCCAGAAAATGGCTTTTCCATTAACTGGTAATCGTTTCACATTCTAAAGATGCCAACTAGAGTTACTTCCTCATAAGTTCTAGAGTGTTCATCAGAACTATATGCATATCTGAGCTAAAAAGTAAAATGAAACCTCCCAGAGTATGTAGTTCCATATTACTGTACTCAATCTTTCTAAAAAAGTTGTACTTGGAGCAAGTTCTAAAGTTCTTTTCTTGGTCCAGTTCTGGGTGTAAAGTCCTAGAATTATGTTTTGGTGTCACAAGACCACAACACATCTTTTTCCATCATACATTTTGGCATTTGCAGTTTCCTTTGGAGTGAATAGTTACATCTTTGAAATAGGATAATTTTTCAAATCGGCACGAAAACACAGTAACTTCGTAAAAAGTTCTTTTCTGAATGAAATTTTCCCGCTGACAGAAAAATTTAACACCGGAAGTATGGAGGAAGAGACCTACATGCATTTCGGTGTAATGAAGACCTCGTCGAATAAAACAAGAATTAATTCGTCTCCGTCTCAGAAAATGGTCATCAATTAAAATAAGAAAGCTCTTATTAACTAATTTTGTCAAAAGGCAATTCATCAAGGTTTTCATACCACCAATTAAGACATCTACATGGCAAAGAAAATTAACGTTCACGGAAACTAGCGCGTAGGTGTGCTTACAATTTCAACAACTACTGACAACGTCACGATATGATTCAAAGTGAAAGAAAAGGGAGAAACATCTCCAAACTAGTCAAATACGTCTAATGGTGATGTAGACAAGTACAGGCACCCTTCTACAAACGAACAAGTGGTAAATTTGCAAATAAAATAGGCTTTAATCGTATTCGATCGACAAAGCCGGCCGGCACTTCTTACAAGTAAAACATAATTGAAAGAACATACAACAAATAATACCCACCGCGTTAATCATCTTGCATCTAACGACCTTTCCACATTTAGAGAAAATATCTTTAACAAACTGTTCGGTGCAGCGACGATCCAAGTTCCCCACGTAGCTAGAGTGATTAACGAAAAATGTGTTAGCGTACGACAGGGTGCAACTTCCTGAACTAGGAAACCAAAGATCTACGATACTATGTCAGCTTTTTCACTTACAGGCTGGTTTTCTTGTCGTCGATGTCGTCCTTGAAACAGAAAATTCATTCGTTAGTGGGAAGAATAGGGAAAAATCGCGCGAACTTTCTTTTTTTCACTTACCATTGTGGCTATATCAAAAGATGGAGTATATACGAAGAAAGTTCAAGGGAAGCCACTATTGCGCGCGCATTAATTTATGTGACGTCATAAAGTTGTCGCACGGAGCTCTGGGAAATTCGAGGTCTTGGTGTGGAGGGCATGGGGAGAGATACTGCCAGTACAAGGCCAAAACTGAACTTTTTTTTCCCTGCCTTTCAGCTGTTTGAACGGGAAGATGAAAATATCGACATCTGCTGTGAACATGATGTGTTGATGGTTTTTATGTACTCAATGAATCAAAGAATAGAAAACGATAGAGGAAATAACTTAAACTGTTGGCGCTTGCCATAACATTCCAGAACAAGAGAGGGCCCATCCTCTCTTGTTCTGGTATGTTAACTACCATCCAACCAAGAGATGTAATT